TGTGTACATACACAGCCTCCCCCAACAAACACACACACACGCACACGCACACACACACGTTTCAAAAAACCTTGGCTGAATATTTGCTAGGCATAAAGTGTGTTGGAGTCAGTATCTTTAACAATAGATGTGTTTGCCTATTTTCTGTCTATCTGTTTGAACAGGGTCTTGCTTTTAGCCCTGGCTGGCCTGGAACTCACTCTATTGAGACTGGTCTCAAGCTCACAAAAATCTGCCTGCCTTTGTCTCCTAGGAGCTGGTATTAAAGGTAGGCACCCTGGATCAATATTTTGATTCTGAGATACTCAGTGTAAGAGCACTGCTTTGCATAAAAACATAGCACACAACGGCAGAAGCATGTTTAGAACTATTTTATAAACTCTTTTTTTTCAAAGGTAAAATTCATTTAACTATTTTTTAAATGAAACTGAAGCCAAGAACTCAAACAGAAATTTTTAAAATCAACTATTCTGACACAATCCAATTCAAAGACACAGCAATGTTGACTCTTATACACTGAGGACTGGTGGCAGGAAAATGTTAAAAATTTATTTTACAAAGAATGGTGGCATATATCTTTAATCTGAGTGCTTGGGAGGCAGAGGCAGGGGCATCTCTGTGAGTCTGGGGCCAATCTGGTCTACATAACAAGCTCCAGGTCAGCCAAGAATACATAGTTAGACCATGTCTCAAAAAAATATTTTATGTGTGTGTCTCTCTCTCTCTGTGTCCTATAAGGATAAATAAATATATAAGGATATAAATATATAAAATATAAATATATATTTAAAGATGATACATATATACATATACATACCTTAAAGATCTTTTTATCATATCATTGTTTCTATAAGAACAGAAAACTTTGTATGCATAATAAAGTCACTGTACTCCGTACAGAAGTGTTAAATCTGAGCCAAGTGTCTCAGGTGTCACTCATTGGTGTTATGTGGCATGACAGCACACACAATGCCTAGTGCACGCACCATGCTTAGGGCACACACAATGCCTAGTGCATACACAATGCCTCCTAATGCACATGCTCTATGTGAAGAACCAAGGCAGCAGTGAAGTTGTGTGATACGACACAGGCAAATGCTGCCACAGACACCATCACACTTGGATTATGAATTACATTTTTGGTCATTGTTCATGAAGAAATTATTCAGTGTTGCCAAATTTTTCACAAGTCCGACATTTAGGCACGTGACACTGCATGGGGTCGACGACTACAGTTTGAGAACCTGACATCTAGAGAAACAGCATATATCAAAGAACCCCACAAGCTGTGTGGACAGAAGTGTTTTGGAGATACAGAAATAGGCTAAGAGAACCTGTGAGGGGAGGGCACAAGTCTGGAGAGGTCACCAGAATGGCCTCCCAATTCCTGCTAAAGGAAACAGGTCTGGGAAGTATCTACTAACAGCCTCACCCACAGCCCAATAACTGGGCACACCGGCTAGTCTGGCTTCCAAGAATGGCTTTTTTTTTCTAGATGATGTAAATCCTGCCCTCTGACCAGTCAGAAGGAAAGACGCACATGTAGAATTACAGTGAACTCTGCGTCATAGAGGGAAATACCATTAGTCCAGTTACTGCTTTCCCAATGGGATAACTGGCCATGAATCATCCTCTGAGGAGAATGGTTAGCCATGAGGTAGATCTGAAGGGATGAGTCATGAAGAGCTATCAGAAAGTGGAGGCCAGAGCCAAACAGGACATGCTTTGGAAGGGTAGCAGACACTCTGTGTCTTGTGATGACAGAACCTATTTGGTACCTAACATGGAGTCAGAGGAGTCGAGGAACTGCACGTGACCCCCATCCTGGTTAAAAGAAGAGTACGTACAAGACACAAACACAGGACTCCAAGGGACCCCTCCTAGCTCTGAGGACACAATCTGAAGGAAGTGCGTGTTTATCCAGGTCAAAGTCTGGAGCTTTTGTTTATAAGCCTGGATGGACAATGGGAGCCAGCTGGGAGTAGCCTGCCAGGGCAGGACAGCTGTTGGCATTGAGATATTTCACCCAAACACAATGATATTAAATAGGGGGTGGGGCCAAATCTATATTCCAGTTCAGTAGTGAGAAAAACAGAAATTTAAATGGAAGAGCATCCAGGGGAAGTCCTGACCACCATTCCTCCAAACCGACAAGGTCATCAAAAATAAACTCTCGAAAACTGTCACCACCAAAATGAAACTATAACTAAATGGCATCTTGGGTGGCAAGTGGGACATAGATACGAGGTGAAAAACAAGGAAATCTATATAGACTATCTGTGTTAATCAATCGTACTTCACCTGTTAGGTCTTCATTTTTCCAAGAGACCACACTAGCGTAAGGTGTGCTGCTGAGGTAAAGGGGAGCAGGCACACGGGAACTCTGTGCACTGGTGTCTCAAGATTTCTTTAAGTCTAAAAAGAGGGTTTAAAACTACTGTCTATTTAAATAAAACTGGGTCAATCATGGCAGTGCATGCTATAACCCTGGCACTCTGGAGCCTGAGGCAAGAAGATGGAGAGTTCAAGGCCAGCCTGGGTTATATAAACAGATCTTGTCAAAGGAAGAAAAGAAGAGGAAAGGAAGGAAGGAAAGAAGGAAGAAAGGGAGGGAGGGAGGTGTGGGAGAGGAGGAAAAAGAGAAGAGTAGAGAACAGAAAGGAATAAAAAAAAAAGGTCTATGGGGAAAAGGCCAATCATGATGTCTGCACTGATCAGTCCACGTCCTTTCTGTGCCTTCAGGCAGATCACAGGTCCTGGTTAAGACCAGTGTCTCAGCTTAACGTGGGCCTTGCTCAGAGAGGGTATGAGGCTACCACTCTTCTTCATTCCCTTCCATCCCTGCAGGCCACAGGTTACAGAACTAGAACATGGCTTCTTGTGTTACCTGCCCCCTGTACACCACAGTCCCTGCTCCGGGATCTCTGCCAGTCCCAGCTGCTGCCTGCCTCCCAGTGCCCACTCAATGGAAAGGGTCTTCCCTCCATGCCTCTAGTCTTTCACCTTCCAGAATCCTCTCTGTTTCTGCCATCTGGCTTCTCAGCCTTCCACCCAGCTGACACTCCCCTCATCAGAGGCTCCAATTACTGAGCAACTATTCTGCTCTAAGGACACTTCTAGGGCTCCCAGGGTTCGTCCACACCCTTCTGGAATCTCCTTCTCCCCAAAGGCTACTGTCCTTGATCTCCTGGCCACCCTCTCTCTTCTCCCACCTTCTTAACTAGTCTTTACCACACACCTGCAAATAAGGGTATTACATCATCTGATCCGAAGTGCTGCTCCCCCCCTCCCGAGATGTTAGCCTCAGTTCTGAGAACCAGAATGGAACTTTGGATATCTATGGGTTCCATAGTGTGCCTGATACCTGGTAGGCATCCAATTTTTGTTTGTTTGTTGTTTTTTGTTTTTTGTTTTCAAATGGAATTCTTTTAGGGTCATTCTAGCTTTCTAGAAAAGTACTATTTTGAACGCATGAAATACTATCAACATATAGATTGAATATCCTCTGGTTGTAAAAATAAAAAATAAAAAAAGAATACTCACCACTCAAACTTTCTGTGATCTTTTGACGTGTGGGTCTATCACAGAGTAGCAACTACTCTCATTTGCCTCAGTAATGTTCAGTACAAGGTGCTAGGCACACATTGCTTTCCGTTAAGGTACTATTAGCATGTGTTGTGAAAGAAAAAAAAGCTCAATGGTCTAAGAGGTACAGGACGTCCTGAGTTAAAACAAAGCTCATGGGAGTTCCATTGTGCAGGTCAGACACTGTAAATCACCAAGAAGAGAGTATTTTATGCATCATTCCAAAAGCAGATTTACTGGAACCAGTACTTACTGTGCCGACAAATGTCTGACATCTGGTTCTACAGGGAGAATACAGATGTGTAGAACTTGCCAGTTCCCACATAGCTGATGCTATGATATCCCCGAAGGCAGAGAGAGTAGAAGATGTGCATAGCCCTACCCCATTTAGTGTTGCCGCTGTACTCACACAGAAGACACAGTAACCTCAAGAATGTGACAAAGTGCCGAGACGTGGTTAGAGACATGAATTCTGAATATCTGTAAATCTTTGCTTCTCATATATCTGTATGAGCCACATTTTTCTTGCTGTGACGAAATACTTAACAAAAGTTCAGGAAGGAAGAGCTTAACTGGGCTCACAGTTTTAAGGTGCAGTCCATCTTGGCGGGGAAGACATAGCAGCACAAGCATCTATAGTCGGCAATCAGGGAGAGATGGATGCGGCTGCTTCGCTTACCCAGTCCATTCAGTGTGGACCTTCTCATTTCTGTCAATGCTCTCTGGAAAAAAAAAAACGCAACAGACACCATCTCCAGAGGCATGTCTCCTAAACTGGTTCCAAATGCCCAAATCCTGGGTCAGTTAACCATCTATAGCAAATGATTTATTTCATTGTACACTCAGATAATTTAATTTTTAATATGGCCATGTTTAACAGCCACATCACAAATATTCCCCAATTCTAGCCAAGTCTTCAAAGCCATATTGGTATAAGTCAACTCCAGTACATCACTGGCGTGTCCCATTTTTGCAAGGGACAACAAGAGAAACCAAGGTTTCCTGGCACTCATTTCTGGGGTGGGGGGAGCTGTATGCATTTGTGTAAATCAACCTTAGGAATCCAATTAGGTCCATTTTAAAGATGAGATATTAACAACCCATGTCTTCTAAGGGAGAAAGACACTCTTTATTCTCAAATGGCAAGTGCATTACTAGGCTCCATTCTATGCATTGGGCACAGCTAAGAAAAGTCCATCACTGCCATGCCTGAAGTGATGTGGTAAAGAACTCACTGGTGACCAGTTCTTGTTTAAAACTTTGGTGTCACAGTTAGCATCCCTACTCAGCCCTCCACACATGTATGGTCAGCATACATGCATGCATCATAGTGTGAATGCACACACACAAGCTTGTACACTCATTTGTGCACACATACTGCCCATTCCCAGCTCATGTTGCCTGTTCTTCCTCAGATCAAGTCCAACGTGAACCGTCAGAATGCTAAGTACGTGCTCCAAGGAGACTTTGCTGGCAAGATCTTCGGGGTCGATGCTGACACGGGGGATGTGCTTGCCTATGAGAGGTTAGACCGGGAAAAGATCCCTGAGTACCTCCTTACTGCCCTCATTGTGGACAAGAATACCAACAAAAACCTGGAACAGCCCTCCAGCTTCACTGTCAAGGTGCATGACATAAATGACAATTGGCCTGTGTTTACACGCCAGGTATTCAACGCATCTGTGCCGGAGATGTCAGCTATAGGTATGTGCCTAGTCTTCCCTCTTTCTCTCTCCTCCCCTCCTCAACCCCAGCCTGAAGACACCTCTCCCATCAGCCACTTCAATGCTTAGGGTGGGCTCCAGTAAGCTCAAGAAAGTAGTTGTCATGCTCTCTTGGTGCCTTTACATGATTTCAAAATGTGTCCCTAAAGGCTAACCTCTGACCTAGTCCCAAACGAAACTCTGACCCTAATCATAGACGAGTTTTAATCATCATAATGTGCTGAGCACTGACTCATTATAGCCTGGGCCCTGATCCTGACCCCAGAGTGTGTCGTCACCCTAGATATGGGCTTAGGAGGTACTAGCCTGTCCTCATCCTGCTTCCAGAAGGTCCAGGGAAAGAGTGTGTGTCTCTCTACTCCTCTGTCTGAGATCTGAGCTCAAGGCCATGAAGCCAGACCTCCTTGAGGAAACCTAGGTCTCCAAAGGATGAGAAATGGGGTCTTGACCCCTATGGAGGATTTGCAGCACCCTTCCCAGTCCCACCTTCAGAAACTGAAAATCCACCCAGACATCACCTAAGTGATGTCTCTCGAACCCAAACATCTTCCCTTCTTCATTTCTCCCACAAACACACAAACCACCTGTTCTCTCTGCCTGCTTCATGACTGATCTGGCTGGGCTTACCCTTGCTGGCACTTTGTCCTCGTGATGGCCCCTCTGGCACAAAGCAGTCTTCATTCCTTCAGCTTGGGCAGTAGAAAGAGCAGCACCCCATCTACTCCCACCAGGAACTGGGATGAGGGCCACAGTCATGAGCAGATACACCAGAACTCTCTCTCCACAGGGACCTCTGTCATCCGTGTGACAGCAGTGGATGCAGATGACCCCACTGTGGCTGGCCACGCCACTGTCTTGTACCAAATCGTGAAAGGAAATGAGTATTTCGCCATTGATAATTCTGGTCTGTATGACTTAAACCTTTTGGGTGGGTACCTAGTTGGAGGGGTGGAGGAGGATCGTGAATATTGCAGGTGCCAATGTAGAAAGAACACTAACCTGATAGGTGTCACCAGCCATTGATCCAGAGAAGGAAGCAGACAAATGTCCAAAGCACATACTCAAGTCCAGAAAGAAAATCAGGGCTTTTTTTTCACCCAAGCATAGACCAGGACTCAACAGAACATACTGGTTGGAAGGTCTTTGTGCATGTTCAGAGACATCTGATTTGAATCCAGAACTGCTGCTTAGCCCTACAGCCCTTGGCCAAGTTAGCTAACACCTAAGAGCCTTACTTCCTTTGTCCAGAAGATAGGCATGCTCACACGCCCTTGCGCAGTAGCTGTGAAGTTGGAATTAGATTTAGCATAGGCACAGCCACATAATTTTTTTTTCGTGCCTTGTTAAGATAAAAAACTTTAGACCAATTAAATTTTATCGAGTTTAATTTTTGCAAAGAACAGTTCACAAATTGGGACACCCCAGAAGCCAAACAAGTTCAGAGAAACCCCAGGGCTGCCACATAGTTGGGTGATATTTATAGTGCAGAAAGAAAAAAAAAACCCTGCAATCTAGAAACAGCTCGGTCGGTTCCAGCTGGGGTGTCTGCCTTATTTGAATAGCTTTGAACAGGTGGCAGCCTATGATTAACTGAGGCACAGCTGCTGTGATTGGCTGAGCATACTCCAAAGTTAGGGCTTTAGTTTATTTACATGCTACTAGGTTGCAGTTCATCACAGGATTCAAGTCTGCAAGTACAGAAGGCTTCTCAGGCCATAAGTTGGTGTTTAGCAGATTTTTAAAACTGTAAGTACTGAACCTTGGAAGCAAGAAAGAAGGCCAGTTACTCAAGCCAGACACACTTGTCTTCCAGAAGATGAGCAAATGCATAGTGCAACTGGTACTTCTACGTGCACCAAGAGATACATCACTAATCCATCACAGCACTCTCGGCACTAAAAAGGGCAGTCATTTCTATGTATGTCAATACAGACATCATTAGTCAAGTACAGCATCAGCACTAAGACACGGCACAGCCAGTCAAGGCTGTGTACCAAGGCAGACATCACTAATCCATCTCACACTGAGCCTAGAATTGGCAGTATGGTCTTTCTCAACATAGCATTCTCTCTGGCTAGGAAAAATATTGGACTATACATTTGGCCAGCTTTTAGCCATACAGGGCAAGGTATGGAGTTAGTGGGCTATGGTTTTGGGGTTCTCAATCTCAGATATATAGTGGAGTCACCTGTGTCATTCTGAAAGGATCTGAGCATTCAGATTTTCTCAAGGCTCCTCAGATAACACAATCCCTGTTGGGACACTTTCTTTTCAGGACTCATTTTCACAAAGGCCAAAAATTTGGACAGAGAGACACGGGCTGAATACAAGATCGTGGTGGAAACACAGGATGCCCAGGGTCTTCGGGGAGAGTCAGGCACAGCCACTGTGCTGATCAAACTGGAAGACATCAATGACAACTTCCCCATCTTTACTCAGTGTAAGCCCCTCCCATAGGCCTTTAAGTAGACAGGGGCTGAGACCATCCAGGTTCAGTGATTTGGGAGCCACTCAGAGAGTGCTCCAAATCTCTCTACTCCTTGCTATATCCCAGGACACTTCTGAAGCCAGGGTATAGAGACCCTGATGCATCTTAATGCATCGCTCTCAAGGTCTCTCAACTGTCCGATGTGAGTCCCTTCACAGACCAGATTTTAAAAAAAAAAAATTACAGCCCTGCTGATGGCACTGCAATGCTTCAAGTCCCACTGTGAGACAGAAGCAATTTCATTGAGAACCTCTGAGACTGAAGGCCCAGCTATAAAATCCCAGAGAATAGGGTACAACCAAAGCCTGGTATAAACATATCCACAAATTGATTTTCTCTTTAGAAACTGTCAAGAGCTTTTCCTGGGCCCTGGGTGAGAGTAGAGAGGAAAAGTAAGTCGGTGTGTTCATTGAACCCACTAGCTATGTGGAAATACAGGCCTCAGCTGCCCCTGAATTATCTAGTTCTGACGTAGCTCTGTTGCTTCCTTAAGGCAAGATTTGTCTCTCTTGTCTATTGATGTTCCAATGTACAGAAGGAGCTAACTCCCTGCTAGCTTGACAGATGGACAAAAGGCAAGATAGGCCTCCTTACCTTGAGACCCAGAATCACACAATCGTAAGCTTCTTGACTGTTTTCTGTAGCAAAATATTCTTTGATACCCAGATAGGGCATTACATGCCTGTGACCCTAGCATTCAAGAGACAGAGACAGGAGACTTGCAAATTCAAACCCAGCCTCTATCTCAAAATTCCAAAGGCTAGGGGTATAGTTCAGTAAGAGCATGATTGCCTAGCCTGGGTAAGACCCTTGGTGTGTGTGTGTGTGTGTGTGTGTGTGTGTGTGTGAGAGAGAGAGAGAGAGAGAGAGAGAGAGAGAGAGAGAGAGAATATGAAGGGACAATCGTCTCATCTATCTCATTAACTCTTTTCGGTATCCTGTGCTCATCAGCTACATACACATTTTCGGTGCCTGAAGACATCCGTGTGGGCAAGCCTTTGGGCTTTCTGTCTGTTGAGGACCCAGATGAGCCTCAGAATCGGATGACCAAGTACAGCATCATGCAGGGCGAGTACAGGGACACCTTCACCATTGAGACAGACCCCAAACGTAATGAGGGTATCATCAAACCCACGAAGGTATGTAGACCTATAGAACTGAACCAATCCGTGGGCTGTGGAGTTTGTGGTATCCAACAGATACTCAGGGATCACTTCTGAGCCACGGGCCATTGAAGGAGAATGTTCTTGTACAGCTCAGAGCTGGCCACGAGTTCATGGAGACTATAAGCCACAGTCTCATCCTGAATTGTTCCAGAGATAGAGCAGAGGCAAGACTCTGGATGTGAAATGTTTATTTGGGCAGTAATCCCTAGAAGCCTCAGGAGCAGGGATAGGTGTCAATCATTGACGAACAGGTACAAGTGGGGCCCAGACCCTTGGTGGCTATATAGAGCATGTCTCAGAGTTACAACAGGAAGATCAGGCTCTGGGGTAAGCAACCACAACAAACAACACTTGTTCTAGTCTCATTTCTCACGCTATAATAGAACAACCTTGACCAAAAGCAACTTTGGAGAAGAAGGGGTGCATTTGATTTACAATTCCAAGTTGAGTCCATTGTTAAGGAAAAGTCACGATGGCAGGAACTTGAGACAATTGGTCACATGACAACCACAGTCAAAAGCAAAAGGAACTGAATGCATTCATACTTTCTGTCTGTGGCTTTGGCTATCAGCTAGCTTTCTCTTCTCATACAGTTCAGGACCAGGCCTAGGGAATGGTGCTGCCCACAAAGGGCTGGGTCTTCCTACATCAATTAACAATCGAGATAATCCCCCACAGAGAAGCCCATATGTAACCTGATCTAGGCAATTCCTCAGTTGAGGTTCCCTTCTCAGGTGATTTCAGATTGTACAGCAAGTTGACATTTAAAAACTCATCAGCACTATGCCCCCCAACATTAACTCCCTGTGCCCCAACAGTAGTAGTCTATCAGTATACATGTAAAGAATGTATACCTGAGGGCACAAGTAACCATGGACAGTAGCTGCTGCTGGCAGCAAGCAGTCTGACTGACTGAATCCAGAAGAAGAGGGAAAAGAGCTTTCATGCTTCTAGAATTTTCAGGTAGAGGACTGGGAACACACAGACAGACACCAGAGTCCACAAAGCTCTCAGACAGTGGGAAGATAGACATACAAACAACAATAACAAAAAAAATGTAACTGGTATATTCAAGGCTGCACAATAATGCCAGACAGGAAGGTGTTGCCTCTGTCTGGAGTACTTTCTGAGAGCATCTCTTAGTACCTACTTAATAGCAAGCTGCTACTCCTTCCTCGGGATGAACAGGAAGAAATTTGCTAGGCAGACAAACACAGGAGAAGCATCTTGAGCAAACCAGGAAAGGCACTACCTTTGAATACAGCCACTAGGTCATTGCCTCCTTGAGAGGAGGACTGGGGCTGGGCATGTCCTTGATTCATAGAACCAGACCAGGTACAGAGGCTGGGCTGGTAAAATAAAAAGCACTGATGTCAGTGACCATACTTCCCGCCCATGCAGCCCCTGGACTATGAACACATCCAGCAGTACACATTCTACATTGAGGCCACGGACCCCACTATCAGATTCGAATACCTGAGCAGAACTGCAGGCAAAAACAAAGCCAAGGTCATCATCAACGTCCTAGACGTGGATGAGCCTCCTGTCTTCCTGCGACGTTTCTACCACTTCCAGCTGCCAGAAAACCAGAAGAAACCACGGATCGGCACTGTGGTGGCCAAAGACCCTGACAAGGCTCAGCGCAGCATCGGGTAAGGAAGTGGTGGGAATCAAGCGATAGTGCCATGGTGATCATGGCATGGACACTCTTATGTCTGATGACCTGAGACCAAGGCTCAGAGAAGGATACAGTCTCACAAAACCTCCATGGAAAGATGCTGAAGCTAGACCCTGGCTCTTTCCACTACCACCCTTCTCCCGCCAGCTCCTGTCTGGTCTATCTTGTCTGATCCAGGCCATCCTCTGTTCTTTAAAGGACTTTGAACCTTAACTCATGTAGTTCCTGTCTAATGAGGCCATCAAGCAGGAATGGCTTTTCTGAAGCCCCCTCACCAAAACTAGTTTAGAGATGTGTCTCCCAAGACACAAAGTCAGAGTGTTGCTTTCACTTGGTGAAACTACACATTTCTATAAAGAGATCTATGGTAGGTCCTGCTCCCACCGGGTTCTCATGTGGGATGAGTATCCTTCCCTTCATGGCCACACGAACTGACCGATGCACAGATGCTGTGTTCGTTATTACCGTTTGTGTTCTTCCTGTCCTTTGCTTTGGATCATGTTCTGCACAGTTCATCAGTACTTATTCCTAGCTCGTTTTCCATTGCTACAACTTTATAGCATGGGCTGGATAATTTATGAACTGCAGAGCTTTATTTATCTTAAGGGTCTAAGGCTTGGAAATCCGAAGGGCATGGTGCCAGCCCCTGATTGCCATCTAATGAAGTCTTACTTGCTGCAAATTGGTGAGATCTAGTGAGCTTGCCAGTGTAGGTCTTTCTTTGTCTTCTTACAAAGCCACTAATCCATGGTGGGGACCCCACCCTCGTGATCTAATACGAATTATAATTACCCCCCAAGAACTTAATCTCTGAATGCCACAAATACATGCATCTGTGGGTACAGTTTCTAATATGTGGACCTTGGAGGGTGTGGAACGAGAGATTCGACCCTGTGTCCTTGTTCCTCTGTCTTAACTAGATATCCCTCCTCTAGCCTCTGGGACAAAGGGAATACATAGACCTGCTCAGACTTCCTGGAGTCATATAATAGTTGGTAGTAAGCATGAATTCAGTCCAATCTGATTTTATCCCACACATGAAACCAGCTGTGACAGGCCTGTTGACTAAACATCATTGTTTCCCCACTGCTGTTATATATTTGACTTCTTACATACAGTTGACCCTACCTCTGAATTCCCCACTTTGCCTGTTCCTCTGTGACACTCTGCTTTAGTGGAAGTGCTTTCTGCTGAGTTTTACCCTGTCTAACAGGAGCCCTTCTCTCTTCATTTTTTATCTAATCTGAAATGACCATTCTTTCACATGAATATTTTAATCCCACCTGGCCTTGAACTGCCCTAATCCTATCTCTGCCTCTTTAGTACCAAAATTACAGGGTACATTCCACCACACTTGGCTTCATAAGAATAATGTTAATATAGTTTTTAAAAATATTTACATCCTAATGAGGTATTTTTTTATTTGATTATTTTTTTAAAAAAAATTCTTTATTTATTCTGTGTGTAAAGGGTGGTACATGCCACAGCACGAACGTGGAGGTCAGAGGTCACTTATGGGAGTCAGTTCTCTCCTTGGACCATGAGAGTCAGGGATTAGAACTCAGAGTATCAGGCTTGGCCATAGATACCCTTGCCCACTGAGCCATTTTGATGGCCCAAGAGTTGATTTAATATATCGATTTTGGAAAATCTTTGTTTATTTACAATACTAGCATTGGTCAAGAGACTCCCAAGCACCCTACTTTTCGGGCCACATCCCCAGGCCTCTGTGACCTCCCCCTGCCCCGCCATTTTCAGACAGGGTCTTACTAAATGACCCAATCTAGCCATGAACTCACTTGATAGCCCAGGCAGATCTTGAGATTCTTCCTCAGATTCCTGGAACTGCAGGCCAGTGTCACCAGGCCTAGCAGTATCAGGTCTTCATGTTGAGAACAAAACAAGCCTTTCCCATTTGAGTCTACCTCATACATCTGGGGACCTGATTTCACTCTCATCTATTCCACGGGATTTATGATTATAATCTTGGCTGTTTCTTTGGTTGAAGACTTTATTGACTTGGGATTGTTTGGTTTTCTTGTACTAGTGCTGTGGGGATTGGGGGGGGTGGTCTACTATGTTCTGGGATATAATACAGTTGTGTTGCGCCCATTTTTACTGAAATATCAATACTTCTGTCTTATTTATTTTAATTTTTCTGTCCAGTTAACTAAGACTTACCACAGTTTTGCCTTCATTAATGTCCTATAACTTCTTTTTCCAGTGCAAGGGATAGAAGCAAGGGTCTGTAACCCTTTGCATCTGTAACATGAAGCCAGTGCTCCACAGCTCAGCTCAGGACCTGCAATTTTGCAACCCTGTGAAATCAGCTAGTTTGTCCTTCTTTTGCTTTTGGTCCCCAATGCCACACCATATGATGTTACGCTTGCCCGTCCTGTTTGTATGTTATTTCTGTTTGATAAATTCTGCAACTTTTACCTCTGACTTTTCTAGATTGCATGACTTTAAGCTATCTCTTGAAAGCAGCACGTGGTTGGGATGCCTTTTTAATCTCAACAGAGATAGTTTGTGTTCAGCCTGCTTGCTGTTTTCACCGTCTGTGCTGGGCTTGATCTAGCGTGCCTTGCTCTATATTTCCTACTTCTCAAATCAGGTTTCCTCTTGCTCCTCATCTTTCTATAACCCTTCTTTTTTCCCTCATAGACATTTGACCACAGATTTACTTCTGTCTACAAAATCTCAAATGTTTTCTAGTTAAAAGCATCAGTCACAGATGAACCAACACCTTCATTCCAGTTCCTCCCAAACTAGGTTTTTCCTTTTGATTAGGACATCTCTTAAAGCTTCAAAATGATTTCTTCTTTGCATAATCAGAACTCGACTTTGTGAATGCTGTATTTCATAAGTAATAATGACATAGTTACAAACACATATACAATCATCCTTTGCCTTTTAATTTTAATGACTCTTGGCTATGCTTGTGCAATCTTCAGGTCATAGAGACATCTCTTCAAAAGTTCCATTAGTGTGTTCTAGCATTCACCTTCAGGGAAACATCTGGAGTGGGACTAATTTCCCTTTCTTCTTAGAGAATTTGCTTTTTGTTCATGAGAGTCTGAACCCTTTTGTTTCCTCACACTGCTGGAACATTTGAAGGACTATCAGCACATGCCTAACTATTGTTATATTTTTATAATTATGCCCAAATATTGCTTATTCTGTAGACTCAGACCTTCTTCCAATCAAAAAATGTATCATATTTTGTATTGCATCTTCTTTTTTGTCATGGCTTTTCAGTAGTAGCAACAATCTTCACATACACACACTCTAGCTGCGGTGTTTTAAAGTTACATACATAGTTTAAAATGTACCTGGGTGGAGTCTCAGGTACCCCATCCAATCATAAGATAGCCACATCCTTCAGGTCGAGCATCATTCTGCTCACGTGTACATGTGCAGGTCCACTCACTCTGGGTGGTAAGAATAGGAAACATTAATAGGAGTGTGGGGAAGGATACAGAGGTCAAATCCTGAAGTGCCTTTTCTGTCAAGCTGAGGACTTTGGAAACAACAAAGGACAAGGAAATCCATGAATCTCTTTCTCCTGACAGATACTCCATCCGCAAGGCCAGTGACAAAGGCCAATTCTTCAGAATAACCAAACAGGGTGACATCTATAATGAGAAAGAACTGGACAGAGAAACCTATCCCTGGTATAACCTGACTGTGGAGGCCAACGAACTGGATTCTAGGGGTGAGTGGCTCCACCTTCCAGGGTATCTGGGGTCTTCTTTTTCCCTCATTCTTTCAAAACTGACATGACTCATCATTTTGGACCTCTAAATGTATTCTAAATCCCTGGGGAAGTATTCTCTGGCTAGGATATGTTGACCTTCCGTTTCTGAATGTGCTCCTTGGACCACCGTCATAGAGAGCACCCACAACCTTGTTGGGAGTACAGAATAATAGACTACCACCCTAGACTGAATGCATCATAGTTTAAGAAGCTCTGTGATGCAACAGACTCTTTAGACATGTCTGTGATAAGATTCAGTGAAGGCACCTGCTCCACACAGACTTTCCAAGGGTTTGGTCCAGAGAACACAGAGAGACTCGAAGGCTGTGCATGAGCCAAATGCTGCATGATTCTTAATGTTAAATGCACTTAGTAAACACTCTTGTGCACAAAAAGTTATGTGTGCACCAGTGAAAGAGCCAAGAAGCAGCTCTCAACTGTAGAGATTATAAGGTTCTGCCTCAATTGGTGTAAATTCTGACAGATGCAAGGGGAGTTGTAACAATCACCCAACAAAATAGTGTTCGCTTTCCCATGGCAACCAAGTCCCTTGGGGGTTCCTGAGAGGGCACATTACTTAAATAAGTGTATGGTTATGTGTCTGATTGCATTGTTCTAATCAGTTGTATCCGTTTGCTTGATTTATTCACTAACTTATTTTTTAGTAACCTCTTAAGATGCGCTGAGGAATGGTTAGCTCTTGAATTCTTATAAGCATGTTTGCTTGCATATGAAAGTCCACCCCCCCCCCCATGGTGTCCTTCTCAAAACTCCTTCCATGAGCAACACCATCCTTGGCCTTTCCTCCTGAAAAACAAAAATGGCCTCCACCACACATTGCCCCAGGACTGTCCACCCAAACATCTTCAGAGGCCAACATCAGCTGAGTCCCAGATGATAGCAAGCTGTCTCCCCTACAGGTAACCCCGTAGGTAAAGAATCCATTGTGCAAGTTTACATTGAAATTTTGGATGAGAATGACAACGCCCCGGAATTTGCCCAGCCCTATGAACCTAAAGTGTGTGAGAATGCTGCCCAGGGCAAGGTGAGTTGGCCTCACGTGGGGGAGATGAGGGCAGGGCAGTGTGTTTTCAGGTAGATGACGTGGAAGAACACCTTCCTGTCCACCTAGAGTTTCCTGATCTTAAAGTAACTACATAATAGCCCTGAATAAAATGCTATTCCCATTTTATAGGAGGAGAAATGAAGGCTCTGGGAGTGTCTGAAGAGTAGGTCAGGGATAAGTGAGTGCAGGATGGTAGTATACAAAGTGGCTTTGGGGAGACCATCATAGGTGCCACATGTGACAGGCAGCCATGGTTCTGTCTAAACCCGTCCTTGAACCCCCAAAGCACACTGATCATTCCCCTGTCTCTCACATTCCAGCTGGTAGTACAGATCTCTGCAACAGACAAGGACGTGGTGCCAGTAAACCCAAAGTTCAAGTTTGCCCTGAAGACCGAGGACAGCAACTTCACCCTCATAAACAACAACGGTAAGCCTCAGAGCTGGCAATTGGTTCTTAGAAGGTCAGAGGTGTCAGTTAAGACTCTTAAAGCACTAAGATCAAGTACTAGACCAACATGGGGTGACGGGTCTCCAAAGGGTGTTTCAAATTATGGGGTGGGTATTCTGTACAACTTTCATCATATAGATTGTACAGTTGGTCTGTGTTGTAGTTGCAAACACCTGGTCAGGCTTCATGGTCTATAGGACATGGTCCAGAGGGTCACCATTACCCTGAAGAGGCTTCATTGAAGAGAAACACAGAATGGATACAGGGATGCAGGCAGCCAGCTCAGTCCAACCTATTCAAAAGCTCCTTCTAATAATGTTTGGGATCATTCCAAAGAGCCCAAACAGGAAATAGGAAGTCATGAACCCAAGGGCTGCAATGAGCTTTGTTGCAGTTCATCTAGAACAGGTATCTACCATAAAGTGTTCCCTGAACAGGATTTGATCCGCCAATCACATCTTATCACAGCTCATCTATTCAGCCAATCAAAGCCCAGAGAGTCTTGTGAGGTCAGCAGTGGCCAGAAAGAGGTCTGGTGAAGATCCACTTGTTAGAGAGATGACCCCAAGCTGATTTAATTCCATCTGAAAGTGGCCAGGTTTCCACAGCCTCTGCAACTTTCAAAGAAAGATATACACCCCTGGATATGACTATAGCAAACTGGTCACCTGAGCATGGGAAGAAATCTCCCTGTTCCTTACTGATGACACAGTGAGGGCCCTGTACTGAAGCAGCCCATTGTTATCCTTGGGGAAGACTAGGGAAGAGGGTCCCTGAGAGTGAGGGGCATATACAGAAGATCAGCCACAGACCCATCAAGCAAGATGAACACCATGGCCTACAGAATGAGGAAGGTAGCCATGCTGTGCTGACAGTTGATGACGTAACTCAATACTCAGAAAATATCATTGCAAAAACACCCGTTATCCCATTCCCACTGTGTACCTTGAACGAACTAAGAACTGGGATCCATTATGGAAAGTTTCGGAGCTACCCCACACACATACCCCATATGTGCAACAGGATGCGCTCGAGTCTGTTGTTCTCAGAGTCGTTTGCATACCAGTGGTCTGCATATCAGAGTCTCTCATTTCTCCCAGTTTGCTCTTGGCTGTGTGGCTGAGTCAGTCCTCTGACCATTGGTGTTACAACCTCCCAGGAACCTACAAAAGGCAGATCAGCTCTCCTTTGTCTACAGCCACCTAATAGCAGCAGCAGCAGCAGCGTGTGTGTGTGTGTGTGTGTGTGTGTGTGTGTGTGTGATGAAAAGGAACGGTCTGACAATCAGGCTGTTTATAAAGGTCCCTGGAGGAGCCTTTTGTTCAGTAAACCAATGGTTAGCGCTGGGGATAGGGGATATCGGCACAGAAACTGGTTCTCGGCTGCAGAATGCCCTGGGACATCCTCTCTCAATGGCAAATGGGAGTACCACTGGGGAACCAGGATTGTAAGCCTCCTTTGCAATGATTCAAAGGTGGCATAAAGAAGTTAGTCTGGTGCAAGGAGGAAAAAAGCATTCTTTTCCCGGGGTGCGTGAGAGAGGGAGAGAGGGAGAAAGGGAGAGAAGAAGAGAGGGACAGAGGGACAGAGGGACAGAGAGAGAAAGAGTGGCGGGGGGAGGCTTGAAACAATACAGCAATGAGCTGAGCAAAAGCCTCTATTGAGATGGGATTGGAGAAGGTGGTGATATGTGCCCACTGACCACCGAAACACAAAGTTGGGGTTTAACATGCTGACTGAGCCGTTCTTTTAGGCTAGGTCAAAGCAGCTGCCCAAGTACGTCCTCTGCAGAGGGACAAGCCTATGCTCAGGGGACCCAAAGATGAGGCAGGGAACAAAGCAGGCAATGAAATCACCCAGAAAGAGGCAGCTTCCCCCGCCATGGGACAGGAGGGCAGATGCTCCTGGCAGAGCCTCACTCTGTGGTCTTGGTGTTTGCAGACAATACGGCCAACATCACAGTCAAGTATGGGCAGTTTAATCGGGAGCATACCAAGTTCCACTACCTGCCAGTGCTCATCTCAGACAATGGAGTGCCCAGCCTGACTGGAACCAGCACACTAACAGTGGGTGTATGCAAGTGCAACGAACACGGCGAGTTCACCTTCTGTGAGGAGATGGCCGCCCAGGCGGGTGTCAGCATCCAGGCACTGGTGGCCATCTTTCTCTGCATCCTCACCATCACAGGTCAGTGTCTCATGGGACAGGGAGGTGACATCAAGAGGGCTTCACAGAAGAGACAGGGTTCTGGCCCGATCCTGCACCACTCTGGAGCCCACAGTTCTTGTATGTATAGGATACAGAGATATAGATGTAGAACCCCACCAACCTGGAGCTTAATGGGGCAAGGGAAAGGAGGGATGAGCCACAGGATCATTGTTTAAGCTAACTCCATTTCAAAATAACCTCAGGCCGGTGTGTATCTCAGCGGCAGAGTACGTTAGCATGCGTCAAGCACCAGGTTCAATATTGCCTTTTCAAAAAGAAAAAGAAAAGAATCTATACTTGACATTCATTCATTTGCTAAATATATTTTGAGTGCTTATTATATTCTGAGTGTTGTTTGGGGCACTGGTGTACATTAAAACAGTTGTCTGTTGATAGTACTCATTTATTTTGAGACAAGCTCCTTGGCTGCCCTGGAACTCACTCTGAAGAGCACCTGGGCCTCCAATTCACTTGCCTTCACCCTCAGAGGGCTGGGACTAAACCTGAGTGCCACCACTCCTGGCTTTAATTGTTTCTAAAATTCCTTTATAACGGAACGTTTTGAGACTTCTAGCTTGGAATGTCACTAGGGGATTTCTTTTGCTTTTATAGAATTCCTCCAGGTTTAGTTTCTCTTTTGTTTTGCATTTTTTTTGTTTAGTTTTGTTTTTTACTTTTTTTTTCTGAGCCTTGTCACTTTCAGGGGCACTTTAGGGTCACCTAGGTCTGGCATTTCCCAAGAAACAGACCTCAGACAAGGATTTGTGAAGGGCAAGCTGACAGAAAAGGTGTGTTCGCCAGCCTCATCCCCCAGGGACACCAGGAAATTTCCTGTTAGCATTAGCACCCAGCAGAGTCTGGCTTCTCCAGTCAAGGGATAACGGATGTTCCTTCTAGAAAGTACTTTCTCTATGCTGTACCAGCCCTGTGGGATACACTGAGAGGCTAGGATCCCATGAGGCACAGGCAGCCATTGTCCAGGCCTCTGAACTTCCCACTGTGTGAGTTCATTTCCTGGACTTCTGTGCCAGAGACATTAGAAACCAACTTCTTTTTCATAAATAATAATAATAGCAAAAGCATTGATGCCAGTACAGAATCTCATCATCATCTTCCCCAAATACCAGTGTCACAGAGCAATCAATGTATCCACTCTGCAGACAGGAAAACTGAGACTTGGGGAGGCCATGCTCACTGTTTGTATTTAACAGATTAGTACCTAACTCAAGGCTAGAAATACAGAGGAAATGGCTTGAGTGTCATTGAAGGAGCTCTCTGCCACAGCTCAAGGATCAGGGGGCCTTCCCACACCCATTCCCACCCAGACTTCAGTAGGGTCAATATTATGCTACTGACTTACATTTTGGACCAAATCAAATCTGTTCACCCAGTCATGGTAGTGGCCCAGGGGGTCAGGGCTGATCCCATGGACCTGTCTGACCCACATCTGTTGCTCTGACCTGCAGTGATCACCTTGCTTATCTTCCTGCGGAGGCGGCTCCGGAAGCAGGCTCATGCACATAGCAAGAGTGCGCTTGAGATTCACGAGCAGCTGGTCACCTATGACGAGGAGGGCGGTGGCGAGATGGACACCACCAGCTACGACGTGTCAGTGCTTAATTCTGTGCGTAATGGCTCCACCAAGCCCCTACGGTCCACGATGGACGCCCGGCCAGCCGTGTACACGCAGGTGCAGAAGCCGCCGCGCCTGGCACCTGGAATGCACGGAGGGCCCAGGGAGATGGCCACCATGATCGAGGTGAAGAAAGAAGAAGCAGACAATGACGGCGGTGGCCCCCCCTACGACACACTGCACATCTATGGCTACGAAGGTGCAGAGTCCATCGCAGAGTCCCTCAGCTCCCTGAGCACCAATTCCTCCGACTCTGACATCGACTATGACTTCCTCAACGACTGGGGACCCAGGTTCAAGATGCTGGCTGAGCTGTATGGCTCGGATCCCCAGGACGAGCTCATCATCTAGGGTTTCTGGTCTTTGGGCCTGGGGACCCAATCTCATTGCAACCTGGATCAGACACCTGACACTGCCTTCCCTGTTTTCTAAGGAGTGACATAGACTCTCCAGCCCTTGACTGTGGGTATCAAAGACCCTTCCATCTCCAAGGTAGCAAATTCCAGGTCCCTTAAATATCCAGGGACAGAGACATATCTTATCGATGGCCTCTCCAAAAACTAGAAAAGTGAGGCTACTATTCTATCTGGGCTCCCACCCTGTCCCCCTCATACATACACACCCCAATCTATTCCAGACCTCCTGTCCCTTCAAAACTGCCAAGCAAACTGACTATGCTGAACTTCTAGTCTTCCCCAAGGGTCCCTGACTGTAAGGCTGTCTGTCTGAAGGTAGAAGACTGAATAGCATGTGCTATGTATGGGACAGGACTCTCGAGCCCAATCCAGAGGGAGGCTGTAACTGATCCATCATGCCTGTTCTCAGGGGACCCAGCACTGCTTTCCCTCCCTCACACCTACCCCAATGCCCAGCTACTCCCCAGCCCCTCCCCAGGCCTGTCCAGGGAGGAAGGAGACTGTCAGCAGCTCCTGACCTTGGATCCTAAGGTGATCCGGCAGGCCTGCAGCCCCATTTACTGCTTTACTGAGCAATGACCCATTCCGTCAACTTCAGGGAAATGGCTTGTCGATGTTGAAGCAACTGTGAATTCACCCAGGAAGGACTGTGGAGACCATAGGTGACAGGTCATAGAGCAAGGATAGCCTCCAACCCACTCACCCAGAAGAGCTAAGAAGCCCCTCTGCCACTCAACCCTGTCAGGGTTGCCTGTGGGAGGCAGCTGCCTCGCCTGGTCACTCACCCTTCCTTTTCTTTTGCTGTCTGATGGTCTCTTGGAAGCTGCCAAGATGCAGCCTCCGCAAGCTTGGCCAATGCCCCAAAGCAAATGTAACTGTATCACAGAGCCGCTATGCCACTTGCCTTTTGCCTGGTTGCCACATCTCAGGGAATGAACCCCACCCCCAGGGAACACCTTGCAGAATGCAAGACCCCCTGCCCTTTCCAGGAGCAGTGGCATCTCTGCATCTCTCCCTTGGAGGGAATTGAGTAACTTTCCACTGAGTCACGGCTGGAGGAAGGGGCATTCAGACACAAAGAGGTCCAGGTGAGGCAGAAGCGTGCCTTCAGCTCACTTTCCTTTGTGGAACCCTCCCCCAACAAGGCCTCTCTGCAGGGGACTATAGATAGCACTGGCAATTGTCTAATCAATAATTAGTTTCTCTTAATTTTTTTTTTTACTAATGACACTTATAAGCCTCTAGTTCTCACCAACATATAATAAGATTTGTTGCGTAATAAGCAGTTTGCTATTTAGGTTAACAATTTTTTTTAATTCAGGTTTCTTAGTTAGAGGAACAATTCCTATAAGTTTGTATTTCCTTCTGTAGCGATTGCTGTAGGCTGATGACTGTTAGTCACCCTGGTGCATGAGATGTACTGTACCTTTTTTTTATATATCTAAATAAAGACATCTTGAAGTTCTTCCTTTTTCTAGAGCTGAGAGAGCCCATATGAAATACATAGACACGCATGCATGTAAATGCACACACAGTCCTGTGCACACAGACATGGATACATGTATACAACCGCTACTGCCCTCATCAGAGGAACTCAGAGGGCAAGGAAGTTTGTGAGTCACCAGGAAAGTGGATGACGGGGCTAGATAGATGGCCCACTGGTTAAGCGTGTGTACTGCTCTTGCAGAAGACCCAAGGTCAGTTCCAGGATCCACGTTGGACAGCTTACCCATAACTCTAGCTCCAGAGCATCTGATGCCCTCTTCTGGCCTTGGAGGACACTTGCACTCAAGTGTGCTTGTGCACACATAACCAAAAGGTCCGTTCTAGAAAGAAAGAAAGAAAGAAAGAAAGAAAGAAAGAAAGAGAGAGAGAGAGAGAGAGAGAGAGAAGAAGGAAGGAAGGAAGGAAGAAAGGAATGAAGAAAGGAAAAGAAAACTAATAGTGACAGAAAATGAGAGAGATCCAATCGAGCCTTCTATTCCCTCCCCACCGCACCTCTCCCCCTCCCCCACTCCCACAATGCTCTATGCATGCCTTACCCCCTTTTCTCCACTATACGCAACAGTCAGGACTGCCTTTTGGGAAGGGATGCTGCAACACCATTTGTAATCAGCAATAGCAGGTTCTTTTCCTGGGCAGAGAGACGTACAGCCAGCCCTGCGCCCACGGGGGGCATCTCAGTTCCAAAGAATATGCCTTCACTTTTCAAACCCCTCTGCAGAAAAGGTTTCTCCTCCGACTGCCCTTGATGAAGGTTTGCTCAGCTCTTCCCCAGCTCTGGCTAAGAACACCTTTCACAGTAAACAGCAGCTGGGAACTGTTTCTAACAAGCCCAGAAAGGGAAAGACTGTTCTAGAGTTTCTCCAGATCAAATCAAATGAACAAGGCCTTGCAAGAGAAGTTGTCTGGATAACCCACCAGACAGCTCAGCAAGTCATCTGGGAACAGGTTGTGGAGATGCACAGCTTCTGGGCTACTCTTTCCATGGCTGCTGGTGTTCGTCCCCATGGTGATGCTCTTGGAAGCAGGGCTCCAAGATGCAGGATTCAGGAGATAGAACTGTGACCAAGTTACAACACCACAATGCTCACCATCCTTAGTGAAACTTACCCTTTTTTATTTATTTTACTTGACTAGATAATCCCCCTGCTTGTTCTGAGGTGGGCACTTTTAAATTTTATTTATTCACTTTACAACTCAATATCAGCTCACTTCTCCTCCCAGTACCCCTCCCCCATTCTACCTTCCCCTTTTCTTTTGAGAAGGGGAAGCCCCCTCTGGGTGTCACCTGCCACTAACACAACACCCCCAACCCAGCACATCAGGTTGCTGGGGGACTAAGCAGATCCTCTCCCACTGAGGCCAGACAAGGTGGTCCATTTACGAGCCCAGGATCCACAAGCAGACAGGCAGGCAAACAACAGGCTCAGGGACAGCCCCTGGGAACCCACAAGAAGGTGAAGTTGGCATTTATTTCCAGAGTTGCCAGTAGGGGAGGTAGCCTGCATTTTGTTATTCCTGTGGATGTCACCTCCCCGAGCTCAGCTTTCCTACCTGTCTGGATGAAACCTCTGCTCTAAATCTGTCTTCCATAAGATCTTTCCCTACCTTCTTTTCCAAGGAGTACTCTCCCTCAAATCCCTCGACTCCCCAATCCCCTTTAGATGAAGTCCAGACCCTTCACCAGTCACCCTGAGTCACAGGTGACCCTCATGAAGGCTGAGGGCCCACTTTGAAGCCTGAGGCTGTTACTGAACACCATGGTAAAAACTTTCTGGAATCTGAGTGCCTACTCCAGCGGCCCTGGGCTCCCGGACTGAGTAGAAAGGAGCAGCATCTCAGTCCTGCTACTCTCCAGGACCAAATCACGATGGGCCCCGTGACCTTCATTTCACAGAAGATCAAGACGAGACCTAAAGCACGGTGCGATGGGATCAGAGCCATATAATTAGGGGCAGAGTTGGGGCTAGAACCCGCCTCCTGGTTCCCAGAGAGATGTGTGTGGGCAGAAGCACCGCTACACTCCGGCCATTGGAAAATCTGAAATTCCCCACTAGGAGGCGCGCTTCATTTACAAATGCTCTGTCCTAACCACTATCCCAATTTCTGGCACCCTAGCGTACATGCAGGCCCTGGGAATTCCTTGCTTTGACAGAGACGGTTGTATTTAAAAGAATGAACTCCAGGTCTAGCAGAGCATCCTCAATAGGTCCTTGTTTAGAAAGGCAGAGACCTACTCCCACACGCTGCCTAGAGCGGGGATACTTGCAGCTTCCAGCAACCCAATGTCCTTGAGTTTACGAGTATCACAGGTACGCCATAACCCTTCTCTACCCTGTCACCTCTACCCAACCCTAGAAAAACATAGGTCAGTGTGCCCCACCATCCAACACACACACACACACACACACACACACACACACACACACACACACATCCCAAATGAGTCCGGAGTGATCCATTAGGGCCAGAACCAGTAAGTCTTTACATACCCTGGTTCTATGGCTTCTCAGATCAAAATTCCTTACAATTTTGCTGTCCTATATTTAGGTGACACATGAACCCTTAGACTCACACAAGCAAAGTTCCAAGTCATCCAGAAACTATTCCTTCCGAGAATCAGCCAAGAGACATGTACTGGGTGTATCTACCTTATTGTTAAGTGCAGCGCCATTTACAAAGCAAAACTGGAAACACAGTCAATGTCCAACACTAAGAGCTTGGTTATGTAGACTGTGACAGAGCCTTAGAGCGAAATGAGTGAGCAGAGGCTGGTGGGATGTTAAAAATGTTTGTTGCTCTCGTAGAGAACCTGGGTTTGGTTCTCAGCACCACTTGGCAGCTCACCACTGTCTATAACTCCAGTTCCAGGAGATCTGACATCTTCTCTCCGTGGGCATCAGACACATACAGTGTTGCACATTCATACATGTGGAACAAACATTCATACATATAAGATAAAATAACTATTAAGTCTTTAACAAAACAAAAGACCCAGCTGTAGAAATCACAGCCCACATATGAGGTGAGCTTTAATCAAATTCAAAGTTAAGCACACTACATTCCAGTCCCTGTGTTTTCCTGGTAAACGTCCACCCCCAGGTTGTGACATTCTGAGTCATTTCCATGTTTTCTATTATTGACATACATTCTTAGAACCAGAGAAACATTTTCACGTTCATTTGTAACATAGCTGCAAAACGGTGACTGGATCAGTTTTTCTCCTTTGTTTTTAAATATCGAAAGACAATTTTAAAGCAAATTTTCTGGCTTCGCTACTGATATAAGAGAGTTTTGTCAAAGTAAACTAAGTTGTGGGGGCTTTGTTTTTGTTTTGGAAGGATAGGAGAGGGGTTGGACAGGTTGCTTGATTATTTTGATTTTGTTTTGAGACAAGATCTCACCAAGTGGCCCAGGTACAAATCGTAGGTGCTCCAGCCTTGACTTCCCGTCGAAGTGCTGGGATGAAAGGTGTGCCCACTGTCCCCTGCTACTGAACTGTTTTGAAGTCAGTATTTCTGACCCCAGAACAGCTGTTTTTAGAGTATTCTCTATGGGGCTTTAATCTCTTTACCTCTGGAGTTCTTTGCCTGTAAATTTCTAGCAATTTTCAAGATCTGTGGGAGGAGAAAGCTGGTTTTCCAAACAGGCAACATCTCTCACCCTCAAATGATACTGTGGCACATAAAATGCCTAACGTTACTCCTTGTCCAGATATAAAAGAAACAACTGGGGTGGGTCTCCCTGAGCTGTAGTGTCGGGAAGTCTGTAGATGCACCAGTTTTCAGAGATTTTAGGACACTTTGAATTGTTCTTTTATAACTAGACTCGGGTGCAGCTAACTTACAGTGCTCCTGAGTCATGGTTGCTCTGTGTGTGTGTGTGTGTGTGTGTGTGTGTGTGTGTGTGTGTGTGTACACACATTAGCCTGGAAGCTGTGCAGAGCAAGGGGGTTTGTTTTCACATGATATATGAGACTTCACAAAGAAAACTCCCAAACTCAGAAAAAGAGAAGCCCTCTGAATACTGTAACCTGTAGGTATGTAGCTCTGGGAAGTAATTAGAAACGCACCTGGGGTACAACATGACACAGTTCAAGTCATCTGTAGCTAGACCAGCAGAGTCCATTCTCTGGGACAAACAAGTGTGTGTGAGGTGTGTGAGGTGTGTGAAGTATGTGAGGTATGTGAGGTGACAAACTTCCTGGTTTGACAGCATTTTCCTCATTTTAGATCCAAGATCCTGAGTATGGAAAATGCCTAGGCCTCAAGCCAGGAGAGCTGATAGATCTGGGCATGTCAGAAGTCAGCAGCTCCAAGCCTTACAAACCAGCCGAGTCCAATCTCTCTAAGCCAGATTCTTTGTCTGTAAACAAGACACCTATTAGACATAAATTCAGTCTTTTCATGATGTCTGTGATTTCTTGGATGTCTTGTGACTGATTTTTCTGTTTTCTTTTTTCTTTCTTTGCTTGTTTGTTTAACATTTTCTTTGACCAAGATATCCGTTTCTTCTGCCTTGTTTTCAGCACCTGAGACTCTGTACTCTGTGTCTTCCAGGTTGATGAGGTCTACCTCTGTGTAATAGTAACTTTTATTTGCCTGACATAATTGTCATCTCTGAGGCTTACTGCCTCAGTATGCTAACCTAGGCCTAGTCCGGGAAGCTTCTAGCTTCCATACAATCTTATCTAGGCCTGGAATGTTTTCGGCCTCTGAGACTTACTGCTGAACTGCTGAATAAGCTCACCCTTTCTTGTTCTTTCTACGCTCTGGCTGGTTCAACTCAGCTGTTCTGGATCAAACTCCTTTCTGCACTAACTGATTCAATCTCTCTCTCTTCCTCCCTCTCTCAATCTGTCTCTCCCTTCTTCTCCTGAATTGCTCTGCTTGGCCTCAAACTAACTCTGACAATATGTTCTAATCTTCTGGGTCTTTCTCATTGTCTGTCTTCACGTGTGTCTAGCTTGTTCTCTC